CGCAGGCGTGTCGTGCAATTTGGCCCGGCGACGCCCCCCTGCCGGAGCCCGTCGTCAACGCGCTGCATGCATCGCCGCCGTAGAATCTTGATAGGTTTCGGTTATTGTAGAGAACGGGGGCGGAAGACAAGGGGACGCGTTGCGATAGTGCGGTGTCATGACAATCAAATAATGAAAGGCGGCGATGCGTGCGTACGTGGGGCGAAAGCGGAGGTCGACAAGGGGAGTTGGTTTTAAGCTGTATCAGTTTGTGTAACACGCGACACCTCGGGGAAAACGCCACATGCACGGGGTGCCCGCGATGTGTATTTTGGGCTTTCGAGAGGCATGCCTGATTGCCATGCTGACAGCCTGACAGAAGCCAGGAAAGCGTGGGGAACCGTATTCCGAGTGTATTTTTCATATTCATTCTCGGAACGGAAAGGGCAACCGCTGACCTCGCAATGTCTTGTACCGTTAACAAACTTCGTGTTAGCGACGACGGGACAGGGTAACAATTATTCGTAACTTGGAGGTATATAATTTTGCTCTACTGGAGTGGTCCGACACCAACAAAATCACGAATGCCAACATGAATCAGTAAAAATAGGGGGCGCACGAAAAAAGTGCAAGATACAAGGAATCTTACCTAATCCACCCAAGAGTCTTTCTAGTACAAGTACACGTACCGTCTACTCCTTCACAGTGGGCACGGGACGCCTCGCTGTGAGCATGGTCGTCCAAGTAGCACTCCTGGCACATCGACACCCCTGACTCACTCCCATTCGTACAGTGCTTTGTGCAAATGCAGCCGCTTGTGGACCTCTTATCACATGTAGGGTTCACGCTGCCTCCGGCATTCTTTAGCTTGACGCTTCCCCATAAAGGCCCGCGCGACGAACGCCGTCTCCGTTTCTTCCTGCCCGTGCCAACGTTACCCTCGGTACACCTGGCCATCAGAAATGTCGCCATCGCCTCGTCCCAAACAGCCCGCTCTACTTTCGCCAGCCTGTTCAACTCCGACACAGCATCCTCCAACTGTTGTACCCTGTCAATCCAGGCATTCTTCCGCGCTATCACCAGGCTGCGCTGACCTCCTTGCGCAGCATACGAACCCACTTCTTGCAAATCTGAAAGGCGTTGGTCAAGGCCTGCTCTGTTTTAGCTTAGCCTCCATGACGCGTCGCCTGTGATTGCTGTACGACTTTTGGTCGTGTGTGTGCGATTCGTTCTGTTGGTCGGCCGTATCGACTTCCCCCATTTCCCGAACATAGCCCTTGCGCATGCTCGGCTGCTCGGCATGCAGTCCTTTTCCTTCGTTCCCGGCTTTCCGCATCCTTCCATGGTATTGGGAAAACCACACATACATCGGGATGGACACGAGAGGGGGTATGATCAAAATTAGCACGAAGCAGAGACATCATGACGTACGGAGTAATCGACCCCCTCAATAAAACGGCGCAGCATCACAGAGGCTATATTTTACAGGGCAGGTGGGAGGTTCAATTTCATGTTGTGGCAAGGGCACGTGAAGGCAGGGCGGAACAAGTCATGAGGTAAAAAAACATACACACACACACAGCCTCCCCCATGCCGCCCCCTCACGGGGTCCCACTTCATGGCATTTAGAATTTGTCTTTTCAACCGCACTGAGACTGGCGTCTTTTCATTGGCTAGCCGGTTGGCGCGGTCGATGCTTACATCAAAGACACACCAAGGGTCTACCTAAAAAAGAAATCCGGACACATGCCCCCCCCCCCCCGCGGGAGGGAAATTTTAATTTTTGTCTTTTACAAAAAAAAATATAATGGGGTTTTTTCACCAAAAAAAGGCACCCTCCCCCCTACTGGAGAAGGTTTTATGTCCACGGGGCCCCTTAGGTAAATATGCAGAAATCAGAGTACCCCCCCAACCCCCCCCCCCCACCACCACGATTTTCTGTTTGTTGGGCCTTGTCTCATGTCTCTTGAAATTTGTTTCACGTTGACCCATGGGGCACAAACACACACCTTCGACAAGAATAGACACACAGAGTCTATATTGTACAGGGCAGGTGGAAGGTTCAATTTCGTTTTGTGGCGAGGACACGAGAACGCAGCGCGGAACGACAAACCAATAACGCCCCCTTCCCATACGAAAGACACAACATCACAGAGGTTTTTACTGGAACTTGTTGAAAGGTAGGCGGGGAGTTGATTTATTCTTCATCACATGGACAATAGAAGGCGGCAGGGCGAAAGAACTGAAATGATCCCAAACCCGCATATACTCACTCGAGCGAAAGAGGTTTGAAGTGGTTGATCCCACCATCCACCAGCTCCTCCCCCTCGCCCGGCTGCGCGATGTGGATGGTGCTCCACAGAAGGACATATTTCGAATCCTTCCACTGCACAAACGCGACCTCTCCCGACCGCCAGAATTGCAAGTCACCACGTTCGACAAGCTTGTGGCCAAGGCTCTTGAGGTATGGCACCGCCCCGGCTGTTCGATCGGAACGGCACGTGCCAACCGCAAAGATGTCGTAGGACACCAAGCACTCCAACAGCGTCGGGTTGGTGAAATAGTTGTCCATGGCGATGTAAACCCCGGATCCAACGAGCTTCTCCTTCAAGACCGGGCTCGCGCCAAGCAGCACCCAAAGCACCTGACTCGTCGTGCGCCCGAGTGGGCAGTCCATCAATTGACGCAGGTTCGGGTCTCCGGTCATCCCCCCGTCGACGCTCGATATCAAGCAGTACCCCTCTACATCGCACAGAGCCACATTTTGATACCTGTTGTTACAGAGAGGAGGGAAACCCGGCGGGAAAATAAGGTCACCCACGACTAGGGTTTCTCCCCGACTCGATAAACTGGCACCGGGTATCTGCGGGTTGGAACCAGTACCCGGGTAAAGGGGGGGGTTCGCCTGGTATGTATAATATAGTATGAGGTACGCCATGATTCTGTGGGCGACGTGCAACCGGCTTTTTTCTGCGTACTAATAACATCACGATTTACCCTCCAGGTCTTGGGTGCCGTGTGTCAAACCCAAATGCATACATACTCTAATACAAGACAGATGGAAATGGAACCGGCCGTGTATCCCAGTCCCGGGCGGCGTGTACCGGGTTTTGCCCCAGTCGGGGCACAACACTATCCACGCCGACCGCACAGGAAAAAAAAAAAACGTACTGCCTCGCCCTGCCGCTGCGTATGTAAGGCAATCCAAGAGCAAAAATAGCTGAAAGCGATGTATAATTCCCAGAATTTGTGTTCGAAACAACCAATATCATAAAACAAGATCAAACAGCTCTGAACCTACCCAGTAAAAAAAGAGAGGTTCAGCCAAGCGACGCCGACGATATACTCGTCGCGTTGATTGTCCCAAGAAACAAACACCGAATATTTTGTAGAACTCACCGTGAGTGATCGGCTCTAAGGGGTTAAGTTAAACCTCTGGGAGAACTTGGAGAACGTCGAAACACTCTTGACCATCTGCTTGACATAAGCCAGCCAATGGTTGATGTCCACGTTTTCCGCCCACAGGCTTTGTTCAGATTTTCCTCCAGCAACCTGCCGAGATGTGACGAAGGCACGGGTGGTCACGACATAACACGCGATACAATTAGTGACAGTGTGGGCGGACGTCATCTCCCCGAACGTACCAGATGCAGTGACCGCACGCGTGTACTGGGCCCCGAATGCAAGTGGGGACATCACGGTCGGCGAGGAAACACTTTACTAACCTTAGTGCCGTCCTCATGTACACGCCAAATTCAACGCAAGGGACTAAAAACAAAAAGTAGTAAAATAAAAATACAGACATACACCGATTTTCGCTAGCACGCGACGGTGACGGAATGCCGAGAGTGAAGGGTGCTGGGGATCTTGTCACGTCCTTGTTACGGAGAAACGGGTACCAGACGAAGACCAACCACAACCAACCAGAAAGGAATACAAACCGCCCGTCTCACCTCATGTGCCACTTGGAGTCGTAGTCCGGGTTTTCTGTGCCGTCGTCGAGGAGCCGCGAGGGTGCGTTGGCGTCGGAGCAGTGGATGAACTGACTGTACAGCAGCTCGAACTTGTCTCGCGGCATGCACTTGCGCACAAGAGGGTAGTTGTCGTGTTCTGATGTACTCCAGTGCTTTCTCATACGGGTTTTCTTCGTGAGTCCGATCGTAACCGTGAGGCCAGCCATGCCGTAGATGTTGTCCTCGTTGAACGGGTTACCCTGGTCTCGCTCGGCGGGATCATCCAAGGTAACGTGACCGTGCGTCCTTTTCTTCGATCGCTGGTGCTTACGCCGAGGGTCCACCTCACCCTCTAGCGATTCCGTCGTGCAATGCTCAATGTACGCGTTCGTCTGGGCGGAGAACAAACGACGAGGGGAACGGGCGAATGGGTGAGGTGGTGGAAATATCATTAGGTTCGTTGCGCATTTTGCTACTACTGCAGTACGAGTGGTTCAAGCATGCAAGAGATGCGGTCGTGATGCGCTTTCCGTGCGGTCCAGCCTTTCACACAAAGAACGCCAACGGGGACCAAATCCATGAAGGAGGGAGAGGGAAACACTTTTTTTTTTTTTTTGCGTTGTACGAAGTAGACTTTCGTACGACACAGCGGCTGATCCACGTTCGGGTGAGCGGGCCCGGCTCTCCCGCCCGGCGCATTCGGGGTGCAAAATACGGGACGCAAAAAACTGCAAAAAAAACAAGACGCACCTTATCAACGAAGAGTTGTACTGCCTCTTTGGGGAAGTTCATATCGAAGCGCGTCCCCACCACTTGCTCAATCGCGAAGGCCCCGGAGTTGCTGCCGAACGCCTGCATGAACTGGTCCAGCGACCGCATCTTCTCCTGCGCGCTGTGGGATAGCGACACCGGGCTAGCAGAGGACCCTGCCGAGGGTTTCTTGTTGCGCCTTTTGTACGCGTCCGTGTTCTCGAAGTCTGGGATTCCCCGCTCCGACCAATCCCAGGACTCATCGACTTCCTCCTCCTCCTCCTCCACCACCGGTTTCGGCTGCCGCCGTTTCTTCGGCTATTTGGGGGCTGCACGCGCGCCACCCTTGGCTGCCTTTGCTGCCTCTGCTGTCTCCTTCGCTTTCTCGTCCTCCTCTTCCTTGATCCTGAGGAGCTGCATTGGTCATGTCGCGGGAATCCATCGGCCGGGGGGGGTGGGAGCAACGAAGTAGTCAGGGACGTCCTTTGTCATAGGGGTCGTGATTCCGCAGACGGAACACGAACGCAAGGCGGGCGCAAAAATAAACAAATAATATAACTACCCATTTACCAGTGCAGCGCAGCAGGGAACGGCGCTTCAAACACTTGCAACATGTGTGAGCGCCCAGAAAACATGAAAGCCTGATACGCAGGTGGCAGGGAGAGTCCGGGGCACGGGTGCTGATTAACGCACGACAAAAAAAATATGCAACAACAAAAATACGGAAGAAACCAAACCATTGACGGTCAACATCCAGCACACCACACGAACAACTTGGACACTTAACGCAGACTCCCTAAAATGCGAGCAACAGATGTGAGCAAGCCAAACGAGTTTGAGGGACGGTGCGTGCTGCATTCACGAACGAGAAGGGAACAAGAAAGAGTTGCAAGTGCCAGCACCACCAACCGGTAGCCTTCCTCGATTGTATGCAAATGTAGATTTCTAAGGAAGAGACACAGATCGCAGTAGGCGGCATGGAAATTCTGAAGCAACTGCAGAAAACCCACTTTATCACCCAAAGCCTTCCTCTTGTTGCTAAAAAAAAAAGCCCGCTGGTAGTCCACTTTCTTGATCTTCGTCATGTCCGCCGCAAGCTTATTTTTACTCTTCGTCAAGACCGTCGACGCTCCAGGGGTCATGTGGTGCGTCTAATCCTTTCCTCCTTCACCGATGCTGCCGTCGGAGTCATATGACGCATGCGGCTCGAGGTTGCCGGTTTTTGGTTTCCCCCGCCTACACGCGCCTGACTCTTTCTTGATCACTCTGTCCTTGGAGCTGGGAGGCGCGCGCGTCCCGGACCCAGCGGGCTTCTGCTTATCCTTTCCGAAAGCACGCCTTTTTTTCACGGGGCTCCCATCGGTCCCCAACCTCGTTCGCGGAGGTCGGATCGTTCGTCTGCCATCCATGTCGAGACATGACTTGTACGTGAGTCTTAGGGACACCCCTCTTCTGGCGCTAGGTCGGCCCGAAATCCGGCGAAGGTGCGGTCTCCCTCGGGTCTTCCGGCTGCTGTTGCCCTCCGCGGATATTGTCCTCGAAAGCGGATGCCGCGTCCGCTCCTGGTTCCAGCCAGTCGAAGTGGTTGTTCATGACGTGCGCGTTATTGTCTACAACGCCGTTGACGCCAGAACGTGCCGCCCATGGATCTTCTAGATTGCGGAACAAAAGGTGGATCCAGTAATCTCCGGCCTCGTCCATTTTCTGCGCTTTGTCGAACAAGACGAGACCCCTGGCGCTGGCTGCTGAATAAAGCGTTTCGTTTTGTCCCGACCCCGTAGGCTCCCACACTGCGATGTTTACCTCGTACAGGTCGGCGATGAAAGCCAGCCAGCTAACGTCGAGCCACTCCTTCTCAATTTGTTCGTTGACTCTTGCCTCGAACCAATCGCACCTTAGCTCGCCTCTGGGCGGCCCCTTGATCACGTTGCCGGTAGCACAATTCTTGATTTCAGTCAACCCTATATCGCTGCCCTTCGTCACCTCATCGCCTGAAAGTGTTGCCTCGGGGTCGAATTTGGTCGGGAGCACGTGCCGGAGTAGGCACGACACCAGGGCTGTCTTGATGGCATCCACATCATGCGGGGTGTTCAAATGCCCTTTACACTCCAGCAGGCCACCACGTATGGAGTGGTACCCGCACGACCCGTCGCCCGCTGCATGCTTGGCCCTTGCTCTATCCACGGGCAGGAACACTGTGCGGGTTTCGCGGCCGCCGTCGCTGGCTTCCTTTTTCTTTCGCTCGACGCACTCCATGGAGATTGGCTTTGCTGCAAGACGCGCACGCTCGAACGCGGCACGGCATCACACGGCAGTCTGTGGTTGAAGCTCGGTGCGTGTCAAGGCGCCGTCGTACAAAACCCATTCGCTATCTGCCACAGCAGCAGCCATGGTGGACAGATGGAACACTGCAAGCAGTAGCGTGAAAAATTGGGTCCTCATCGCGCCTGTAGAACGCCTTGTGTTTGCGCGCGAGAGGCAGGTCTGCCCTCGTGTCGCGAGGCTGCTGAACATGTGGAACTCCCGCGTGTGTTTTTTTTTCGGAGGGGCTCTGCCGCATGTGTCCCCGCACGGCGCGAGCACGAGCGCACGCGATCAATATGCGCTGTATAGCCCTTGGTCGGCAGCGCTTAGAACACCAAAACGGTGTAGCTAGGAAAAGTAACCTTTCTGCTATCCTCACCCAAGCGTGGGGTTAGTCACAAGAGGAAAAAGGTGTTCATTTTTTTGCTTCTGCTGTGGTTGTGCCCTACTGCTACCACACCCTAAAATCCTTTTGAGATAGCCGTGGGGGTATCGATTTTGTTTTTTGTACAGTTGTTCGCCAAACCACCTTTGAGTTAGTCGCGGGATGCTATTCATTTTGTTTTCGTCAACCATTTGGGGCGCCCCGCCGGGCGTTCGCACACGAACCCACAGGCGGCATTCCCTTATCACCATTCTCGTCTGCCAGTTGCCCCAATCACCCTTAATGGGGGTTGCTTCTCAAATATGCTGTTGAGTCCCGATATCGTTTGGGTCAACGCGTAGCGCTGTGTTGTGTTAAACAGGAGGAGCATCAGGTGCATCAGAGCATAACGCTTCCCCCCAGGGCCTTTCGCCCCGTTGTTTCTTTTTCATTTTTGAGAATTATCGCCCCTCTCTCAATCTTTGAGTTACCCCGGGAGGCATTCTCGAAGGACATTTCGGTTTTTATGTACGATTCTCCGTGGTATATTTCGTTTACTGTTTTTTGCTTCGTACGTATTCGTTGTTCCTTTTCGGTCCCGTTGTTTGCCGGTTCCTCTTTCGCTCCTGAATACAGGCGTATCCAATGACCAAGCCAAGCAAGGACTACATCATCACGTCGACGCCACGTCGAGGCTACCCCGCGATTTGTTTTGCGTACGAGTGAGGGCATGCACCTTCCCTCTTAACCCCTTTGGGTCTGGGCTGGATTGTCAGATTGTTTTTTTGCGCCAAAAAAAAAGTGAGAGCGAGAGCGAGCGGGAGAGAGAGAAGTGCAGAGAAAGACACCAGTGTACTTCTGCACACGCAACAGCTATCTCCACCTGTAGGCCATGAGCGCAGCCGGCGACCGGGTGGTGGCCACAGACAGGGTCGTAGAAGGGTTGATGGGTGGTCGCGCTGCGGTCAGTAGTGCAGGTTAGCTGTGTAGACTTTGAAATGATCAGTCGTCTAGCTGCCTCAACTAGTCTATTTTCGGTATATTGTAAACGATCAGTCCAGAGAGGGCAAAATGGTCAGTGAAGACCCATAGCCGGTATTTGTACTTCTGTACTTCTCTGTTCCCTGTCCCCCCCCGAAATGTGCCCTGCCAGCTCTCTAGAGCTCCTGTGTTTTTTAAACAACAAGCACTCCACCAGCACACACCTGTACCTCGTGGTTTCCTAGGTTCGGGCGAGGGTGGTATGTGTGGCGCTACGAGTGTGGATGTGTTGCTGACATGTTTTACTCGTCTACAGCAGCAGTAGTAGTAGTGTTGTTGTAGCGTTCGTTGTAGCTGCTGACACAATGCCTGCTGGATCTTGGGAACGATTTTCAAATTGTTGGGAACCACGATATCCTCGATATCTGGGCTTCGGCAGGGATTGCAATACCCCTCCTTTTTGCTTCCCTCTGCTCTTTGCAGCAGTGGCTTCCTACGTTCGGGCGAGGGTGGTATGTATGGTGCTGCGAAAGAACACATATGTATGTATGTATGTGTGTATTTATGCACACACGCGTTCATTGACCTGTGCATACGTTGAGAGATTCATGATTTGGCATTGATTGGCCCCATTCCCATTCTCGAGACCTTGATATTACCCGCTGTCACTGAAGTCTCTTCATAGGGCTGCCGGTTAGCGCGGGTGCTAATAACCTAGACACACCTACCTATGGACTTGCCAATACACGTCGCGAAGGGCTGCAGGGCGGCAACTCCACGACTTGCCACTACACCAGCATTTGCCAATGATCAATCAATGATCAGTGAGAACGCCTCAAGACTCGTGTACTCTTGAATTCTTCATTCGCTGGTAGGATGAGTGAAAGCCGTGTTGCTTACGTACACAACCAAGGTGCGTGCTTGTTGCAAGGTGTGGTTGCGCGAGCGAGCGATTCTTCATTGGATGCGATGGGGATGGGTGTGTTGCGCGGCAATGGTGTCTGTGCAAATGGTGTGTTTAATGTACTAGGGAGATTGCGCGCTTTTTTTCCTTCTCCTGAAGCTTGTGCTCGGGCAGAAAAACATTTGCCTCGAGGTGAAGGTTTGCAAAAATTTTGAGGATGCGGCGGCTGTCGCCATCTTGTATCCACCAACGATAATGTGCTCGTTGTAAACCAACAGCAGTAGATTCCACATGCGATCGTGCATCAACCGCTAGGCCGCCGCACACCAGACACACTTGGGCATCAAAACCGCTGGCATGCGGAGCAGGTTCATGGGATGCCGTTGCAATTCTCAACAACAATTTTTTCTGGCGCGTACGAAATATTTTTCCAATCTAGGGTTACCTCGCATAGCGTGTAGAGGCGAGCGGAGTGGCCCATACTATCTGTCGTTGACTTCTATTGGCTTGCGGATCCTTCGGGTCCATTCTGTTTTCGTATATTTTTTTTGGCCTAAGTTAACCTGTGATCACGGGGGGGGAATCGACCGCGTCAAGTGTTGGACAATTCCCAAGCTCTAGCTTGGGTCTCAGTCGATCAAAAGTCTTTTTTTTCCGTCTGTGGAGTTTTCAGTAGCATAGCGGACCCCTTGCCCGACCGGGTCGAAAAGGCCGATCTCAGCCCACACTGCGAACCTCCGAGAACTACCAGCAGTTCTGGGTAGCTGAGACGATTTCAAGACCTCTCACAGTCGTTTGAGCATCTATCGCTTGCTGTGGGGCGATAACCAGTTTCTCCGTCGACAAGAAGATCTGCGTTACATCGTCACATCGGAACGACCAGATTGGTTGACTTGTCGTTGAGGGTCCTCTTTTTATAGATCTTTTTGTATAAGAGTCGTCTTCATTTTTTTCGCCGCCCGCGCCAACCCTTCTTTTTTACAGATCTATTTATATAGAGTCGTCTTCTTTTTTTCGCCGCCCGCCCCAAGCCTTGCTTGCTTCTCAGATCTATTTATATAGAGTCGTCTTCTTTTTTTCGCCGCCCGCCCCAAGCCTTGCTTGCTTCTCTCGTGTCCCGCGCCAAGCCTTGCTTGCTGGCTACGCTTCTCTCGAGATGCTGACCGACCTCAGCACACAGCTGGACATTCTGTGTACATACAGCAGGAGCTGCTTTTGTTCTGTTGTTGCAGCTTTCTGCATGGATGGCTCTTTTGTGGTGCGAAAATTAGCATTTATTGTTGTTGTTGATGTGCGGACGAGAGGACGAGAGTGGTAGGCAAAAGCAGTACGTACCTGCAAATCTCCGGCAACTACCAGCAGTTCTGGGTAGCTGAGACGATTTCAAGACCTCTCACAGTCGTTTGAGCAGCTATCGCTCGCTGTGGGGCGATAACCAGTGATTTTGTGATTTTCTTCCTTAGTCTATAGTGACCGTTGTACACATGCGGTGGCTGCTGTTATGCTTTTTTTCTCTGTGCCGATATCCATGAAGAAAAGCAACGGCAGCACGGTTGAAGATACAGACAACAGACGGTCCGCCATACCCTTTTTTTTTTCTTCCCTTACATGCATGGATGGGTGGTAAAGCATCGCAAGCGTGTTGCTGCCTTACTTACCTTTTGTGTGCTGCGTAGTCGTAATTTGAGCGATAAGGGGTAGATGGCAGGACAACAATCTTATTTGCGTAGTGAGGTTTGACAACTGGTCGTTCGTGGAACGGTGCTGCGTCTATCGCGACGGCAAGCGTATTGAGAAAATAGTTCGTCCGTGGTGCTTCTCGTCATCATTTTCTATTTCGTTGTCACTTCATACTTCATACCACAAGTGATGAAAGAGAGTCTCCACAGTTAGTTCGGAAACGGCGACTATATTTGGTTTGTTGCGTTTGTTGTTGCTGAGCACACATCGGATGTCGTCGTTCGTTACAGCCTGCGGTGGGCCACAGGGACGAGAGTGAGTGTCTTCGGTTAGGGTCTCGAGAGTTAATTAATGCCTTCTCTACGCTTTCTTCTGTTGATCTACGTAGTAGTAGCACCTGTCTCTCCTTCTCGCCTATTATCGCCGTTGGGGTCCCAACAACATCGAACGTCAACCGCAATCGTTTTTCTTCTTGCTGAGTAAGAGGCTGTTTGTGTAGTACGTACCCGGCTGCTGTATGTGAGGCGATGGGCGCTGCCTCTTTACTTGAAGCAACGGGGGCATGGCCCCTATAATGTTTGCTGCATGCTGTGCTATGTGACAGCTTCCAGCGGTTCAGAGCGGCGACGGTGGTTTTCGTATGCTCTCTTTTGCCACCTCCCTGAAGCCTGTCGCGTCTGGCTCACTTGTCTTTGTCGTCCCTTCTTCTTTTTCTTTTTTTTCTTAACATAGTCTATATTTTATTTTTCCGCTTGCTTTTTGGGGTCCGCCGGTCATCCGCCCACCACCCATTAGTTCAGTTTTAAATGTTGTTGTTGTTGTTGTTGTTGTTGTCTTCGCATTAAAAACCGTTCAGATCTCTCTCTACCCAGTACCTTCATATGTGCGTACTGATCCAACACTTGACGCGGTCGATTCCCGTGGTCACAGGCTAACTTACCCTAAAGAGGTACGCTAAAACAAACTGGCCCCGAAAGGTCCGCAAGTCAATAAAAATCAACGACAGATATTCTTTGGAACGGG